GTGGCACATGCCTTTAATCCCAGCACTTGGGAGGCAGAGGCAGGTGGATCTCTGAGTTCGAGGCCAGCCTGGCCTACATAGTGAGTTCCAGGACAGCTGGGGCTACAGGGAGATCCTGTCTCCACCCCACCCCAAAAAAAAAAAAAAAACAAAAGTTGCCAGGCATGGTGGCGCATGCCTTTAATCCCAGCACTTGGGAGGCAGAGGCAGGTGGATCTCTGTGAGTTCGAGGCCAGCCTGGCCTACATAGTGAGTTCCAGGACAGCTGGGGCTACAGGGAGATCCTGTCTCAACCCCCCCCCAAAAAAAAGAAACAGAAGTCATCTTTGGGACTAGGGAGATGACTCAGCAGGTGAAGACATCTGCCACCAAGCCTAATGATCTGAGTTTGAGGACCCACATGGTGGAAGGAGAGAGCACACAAGTTGTCTTCTGACCTCCCATAGGTATGTCATGACGTGTGCGTGCCCCCAAAAGTTATAAAAATGTAATAATTAAAAGTCATCTTGAACTTGGGAGGTGGAAGGAGGAGGCCAGCCTCAGCTACATAACAAGTTTGAGGTCACTCTGGGGTGTTTATCTCAAAAGATAAATAAGGGGGCTCTGTGGCTAAGAGTTTGTGCTGTTCTTACAGAGGACCCAAGTTCAGTACCCAGTGCCTGTATTGGGTAGCTCACACCCATGGTAATTCCAGATCCAGGGGATCTGACACCCTTTTCTGAAACCTCTTTGGGGGCACCTGCAGGTATATAAACCCACACACATAATTAGAAATAAAATTTTATGCAGAATGTAGTGATGCACACCATTAATCCAAACACCTAGGAGGGCAAAATCCGGCAAATCTCTGAGATCGAGACCAGCCTAGTTTATATAGGGATTTCCAGGCCAGCTCGGGCTATAGGCAGACCCTGTCTCAAAAAATATTTAAAGATAGTAGTCATCTAAGAGGGCTTATTTGGGGGCTGAAGAGATGGCTCTGTGACTAAAAACACTGGCTGCTCTTACAAAGAACCCAGGTTTGATTCTTGGCACCCACATGGCAGCTAACAACCATCTGTAACTCCAATTCCAGGGGGATTCAATGCCTTCGCCTCTGCAGGCATTGCACAGTGTGGTGCACCTACTTACGTGCAGGCAAAAACACTTGTACACATAAGAAAAGATAGATGAAATAAATTGAAAAAAAGAAGGGCTTATTTCATTTTACTTGCACTTTAAAGTAGAATTCTAAAATACTTGGCATTTGATATATTAAGTTTTTATATTTTAATTTTATTATTTGTGTGCATTTGTATGTATGATGGCAGGGCACATATGTGGAGGTTAGAGGGATAACTTGGTGCAGTCTGTTCTCCATCTACCTTTACATAGGTTCTGGGATTGAACTCAGATCATCAGGCTTTTGCAGCTTTCCTGAGCCATCTGGTTTTGTATATACAAAAGATAACTTTTTTTTTTTAACCCAAAAAAACTGGGTATAATTGTTCAAATTAGCAGTCAATTGATGTGTTTAAAAGGTTGTTTCTTTCTCTTTTTTTAAAGAAATGGCTGCAAGCAACTGACCTCACTAGAGAGGTCTTCCAGCATTTAGCCCACTGCGTGCCCAAAATCTACTGCAGGGGTCCCAACCCTTTCCCCCAGAAAGAGGACATGCTGGCACAGCACATCTTGCTGGGGCCCATGGAATGGTACCTTTGTGCCGAAGACCCTGCGATGGGATTTCCAAAGCTCGAACAGGCAAACAAGCCTTCTCATCTTTGTGGTCGTGTGTTTAAAGTTGGAGAGCCCACATACTCTTGCAGGTAAAATATTACAGTTTTCTTTCAAAAGATTCATGCTTTTATTTAAGGGTTTTCCTTCATCTCTGAAACCTTAAATTTTTTATTTCAAAATTATGAAATATGTACATTTAAAAGTCAACACCACAGATACATGCAGCTTAATAAATGATTTGGAAACAAACATTCCCTGGCTGATTTCCCGATTGAGTTCCAGACTGTCTGTTACAAGGACTCAGAAGCCCTAGTTCTCTGCTCTCTCCACGCTGCTCTCGTCCGCCCGTCTTGATGATTCTTGGTTACAGTGCTTCTTTTCTATGTTCACACTGTGCCACATTCGACTGTGGGAAACCACACACTGGCTTCTTTGTCCCTTCCATGCCTTCATTACCTTGGGGTGCTTCTGTCCTTTCCGCCACAGCGAGGCATCCACAGCTCTCTGTATTTGCCGTGACCCATATGGAGAATCAGTCATTTCTCCAAGGAGTTTTATTTTAATTGGGAATGATAGGAAGTGGACTCTGTAAGCTATGAGGGTTTATTTGATAGGGGATGACCTTAAAAAGCCTATGAGAGAAGGAGGAGGAGGAGAAGGAAGAGAATGAATACTGTCTTTGTCCCTTTCCTGACAGGAATTGCTCTTTCTAATTACTAACACTTTCTTCCTTCCAGAAATTCTCTATGTATGTATAAGCCCATGTACATAACTATTTAAACATGTAAGTATGCACACATATGTCAAAAATGCCTTTTGTCGTAGGCCAGGTGTAACGACCATGCCTTTAATCCCAGTTCTTGGGAGCCAGAGACAGGAAGATCTCTGAGTTTGAGGCCAGCCTGGTCTACATAATGAGACCCTATCTCCAAAAAAAAAGGCATATATGGGCCCCTTGGATAAAGGCACCTGTGCATGAATTTGATCCTAGGGACTCATGTAATGGAAGGAGAGATTTCCACACTCACCCCATGGCATGCATAATCCTGTACACATACACAAAATAAATTAAAATGTAATATTATTTAGCCAGGTGTGGTGGCGCACACCTTTAATCCCAGGGCTCAGGAGGCAGAGGCAGGCGGATCTCTGTGAGTTCAAGGCCAGCCTGGTGTACATACTGAGTTCCAGCAGGGAGACCCTTTAAAAAAAAAAAAAAATGTTATTTACACAGAACTAAATTTTGACAAAAGCTTGACCTCTCCATTAAGTTTACATAGCTAGAAATATTCCTTTGTGTGGACATACTGTTGATAGAATCATCAATTTTTTAAAACCATTTTCTTATAAAATTTAAATTAAACTAATTAAGACCTTATGGATATCCACATTAATTTTTCCCTATTGGCATGGTTAGAATATCACTCCTTATCATTTTATATAGGAAAACAGTAAGTCTTTTTTTTTTTTTTGGTATTATAAAGATCTGAGGGTATTGTTCATGTTTGGAGAATAGATCTAGTTTAACCTTGTGATTTACAGATAAGGAAGCCAAGGTCCAATTGCTCCAGCAGTGTCCTTTGTACCCAAAAGATCCAATTCCAGCTCATGTGTCTGTGTCTTTTAATGTTCACTCTGAAAAATCAACTCCAGTGTTTGATTTTCAGACAGTTTTGAAGATTACAGACTAGATATTTTGAAAATGTCCCTCAGGTCAGGCTTATCTGACAGATTCACCTCACATCTTTCCCAGATTACCACATGTGATTCTGTTCTCTAATTGGTGATAGTGACCACTTGATTAAAGGGGTGTCTGCAAGTCTTCTGTGTTGTGTACTTGATTACTACTAGCCATCCTTTACTGTATCAAGCTTCAACTTTGTTTACTCATTTCACTGTGTTGGGACTCGAGCCTGTGTTGTGGGGCTCAGTTTCTATCTGTGCAGCCTCTGCTTCCCTTGCTCGAGTTGTCAGACGTGTGTAGTGGGGGCCCTTCCACACCGTCTGCTCTTTTTTTTTTTTTAATACTGCTACATTCTTGGAGCCCTTCCTTAGTTTCTGGCACAGGACATCACAGTCATATCTTGGATTTCTCCCAGTCTGCCCTGAAATCAACCATTTCCCCAAGAAGCAGAGAATATTCTACATAGTGAGTTCCAGGCAGGGAGATCTTGTTTCAAAAAGACAACCCCCCCCAAAAAAGAAAAAAAAACATTTGGGCTCTGTACCCTCTGCTGAGTCATTTTAGTTTTTTTAACTTTTAAAAATTATTGTTAATTTTTTATGTGTATGAGTGTTTTGCTTGCATTGCCTGCATGTATATAAGTGCACCTGGGCACACCGTGCCTGTGGAGGCACCAGAAGGGGGTGTTGGAGTCCCTGGAACTGGAGTTAAAGGTGGTTCTTAGCTGCCATACGGGTGCTGGCAACCAAACACAAGCGCTTTTAACCACTGAGCCATCCCTCTAACCCTTCCTTCTACCTCTTTTCGGGGCATATAGAAAGTAATTCCTACACCCATATGTATAGGACTTTACAACCTAGTCTTTGTCATGTCTCAGCTGGATGTCTTGACCAGAACTCTAAAGCCCTCCAGCACTGCCTGCTAGACTTCAGGCCTGACCCCCAAGCAAGGACTGACTTTTGACTCCATGCAGTCTTCTTTCCTGTGGGCAGGGTTCTCTAGAGGAACAGAACATAGAGTAGATTTTAAAAGTGGGTGGGGTGCTAGAATGGCTTACATGGTGAGGTCTGGGCTGTCCAATAGGACTCCCGCCATCTCAGATGACTGTCATAGTTCTGGACCCCTTCAACTTAAGATGGACCAGCTAGCATTTGGGATTCCCATGACTCTCTTTGGATTCAATTAATTTGCCAAAGTGGCACATCAGGGAGGTGTGTCTCCTGAGTGATTGTAAAGGATATTAGAAAGGATACCTACAACGAAATGTACAGTGTGATGTATGGGAGAACTCTCCATGCCCTCTGGGCATGCCTCCCTCCAGGTACCTCCAGGTGTTCAGCTTCTGGAAGCTCTCCACCCTGTGTCCTTTCTGGAGTTTATGGGCTTAGTTTCGTGAGCATAGGCTGGAGCCCAGTGTATAGAAATGCAATTGGACAGTAAGGCTAAGACCTCATGCCAACAGTAGACTGAGTTGGAAACC